TAAATCACTCCCACAGAAGAGTGAAAGATTTCAAAGTTTGCAATACTAAGCATACTTAGAAGTGAAGGGTTAAACACACCAACCTTCCTGAAGTTGTTGCAACTGTCTCTTGAGAGAAGCCAGTTTATCCTGATACATCCTGTTAAAAAAAAAAAAGCCACACTGAAAAACATTAATATCGAATTCCAAAATAATCTACATACAGGAATTACCTGGATTGCTATGAGAATGTCATAAACGTCCTTTAGTGAACAGAGAAAACTGGAGTCTGCCAGCTGGTTTAAAACGTACCAGCAGCTAAAGGGATCAGAAAAGGACAAGGATTCTGTGTTCTGGAATCCTAACTCAGTGTTGTAGTTTCCTGTGTTCTCTATCCCACCTTTAGAGAATCAGTCTGAAACCCACAAACATGAAGACCCACAAATTTTAATAAATAAACAATAAATAGGCAAGAAGTTATAAAGAGAAACTGAAAAGTGTGATGCCATTTTCTTGTGGATTTAGAGGTATAAATACACACACAAATGCAGCAGAGGCCTAAACACAGCCTTTATATCAACTCTACAATTACATTCTAAGTTCCAAACGAGTCAGGTTATGCCTTTGGCATGTTTTTCTATGTAGATAACATAGCTGGTACAAACAACAAGTTAATAAACCTTCCTGTCATTTTTAAAAGCACTACCTTCCAGGATCAGAGAAATAATAGTAATTCAGTAACAAAGTTAAAATGTAGGATTTGTTTGCAGCCCCAGCTGGATAAGAACACATAACACACACCAACAGCCTAGTGTGCTATTTTTCCCCCTCACACCGAATGGATTATAGGCAATTATTCACTCCGCCAAGTCTGTTTGAATGGTGGATTCCACAAGTAAATCATATTTTAGTATTTTTGCTTCTATCTGAAAAACACCCCCACTTTGACACTGACAAAAATAAGATTTGCAACATGAACTGTCCAAGAGAAGCAGCACACTAGCTTTTTGACTGCTCAAGTGAGGGCTGTAAATACAACCCCACTATTTGTATAGGTTGGGGGAAGAGTGAAACACAATCTAGGAATTCCACAGGAGAGCTGATCAAAAGATCCAGGAGAATTCTGATGCACTCTCAAGGCTCACCTTGAATCATACAAGGCATTAAATTTTAATCAAAAACGTTTGTGTATCCAATATATTCCAAATGTTCATTTTCGAGAGAGAGCATGAGCCAGAAAGAAAGGGATGGAGTGGGGGATAGGGGATGCAAAGCAGGCTCCAAGTTGACAGCAGTGACCCTGACGTGGGGCTCAAACTCACAAACTGTAAGATCAGGACCTGAGCTGAAGTCGGACGCTAAACTGACTGAGGCACCCCCTATATCCAATATTAAGGGGCACACTGAATTAAAATATGGTCTCAAAAGAATGCTTAAATATGGTGAGTACAGGAGAGGAAACAAATGCGTAAACTGCACGAAGTATTTGGAGCCCAGCGTACTAAATTTTCCACCGCAGAGTGCAGTTAACAATGCCTTTGAGTTCTGAATCCATCTTTGAAAGGGAATATTAACAGACTGAAAAGCAAAATAAATGCAGATTCGGGAAAAGGTACACTGAACTGACTGAAATGGTTTAAGGTGAAAATGATTCAAAATAAATCGGTAAAAAGCCTGGAAAGAATAAAAATAAAAAGCAAGCACAGCCCACGTGGTCTCTCAAAATAAACAAACAATAAAAAAAAAAGTAATCCTTCTTTATTCAGCATGGGTGGGTGGAATTTAGCTGAGCTACCCCTTTGGGTTCCAAAGCGTGAAAAGGGTAACAGAATCCAGATGATGGTCACGAACCATTTGCAAATAGGACCTATAAAAAAAAAAGAATGTGGATCATCCGGTTTAAAGATTAAGAATCTAAAGTCAAATCAAGATCCTCAAAATACATTCAACAAATACTTATGGGATATATTTTATACAGTCTTCCATCTGTGTTTACATTAAAACGAGTGTTTTCAGTTTCTCTGGGCACATTTAGAGAAGGCTTGAGTGTGGATGTGGGACAAGTGGAAAGAGCACTGGAGCAGGAGTCAGGGGCCATGCTCTCCCGGCACCCAGCACACCTTCAGCTCTAGGTGGAATAAACAGGACACACCCTTGATGCTGAGTTATGGTTTTCACATTTAAAAAAAACAAAAAGGGGAGCCTGGGTGGCTCAGTCGGTTAAGCATCCAACTTCAGCTCAAGCCATGATCTCACGGTTCGTGGGGTCGAGCCCCACGTCGGGCTCTGTGCCGACAGCTCAGACCCTGGAGCCTGCTTCGGATTCTGTGTCTCCCTCTCTCTCTGCTCCTCCCCCTACCCTCAAAAACAAAAATTTTTTTAAACGAAAAAAAATGAAGACGTAGAAAACATTCTCTCCTGCTACATGGCCCATCCCCAAGATTCTTCCAACCCGCAAAAGATTCTTTTAACAGGAGGACTGATTAAATATAACAAATTTAGAGGGGGAAATTGCACACGCACATGTGCACACACATACACACAGTCTTTGGAAGCTCTATGGTCAAAACCATACGCAACATCACTATAAAGATTTCCTGGTCAGTTCTGTATTCCAAACAAGAAATAAAAGATCCATACTCACTGTTCCTTCATTTCTACATAGTCTTCTTCATCATGCTTTGCCAGGTCAGTTTCACTAGCGTCCTCAGTGTCTAAGTAAAACCAAGGAAGAAAAGCTTGTTAAAATCAGTTCATAGAGTTGGCATCACCTGACACAGTAACACTTAAACTTCTATAAAATGGATGCAGGCCTGCAAGAAACCATCAGTGGAAAATATTAGTTACTTCAGGAAAGAAAATACCATTTCCAACGTATACATGGCCGGATTTACGCAAAGAGCTGCCTTTATGCGAAGTGCAACCAGAGAACAGGGTGCATCGGATGTTGGCAGTCACGGTCAAGTCTGCTACTTCTGCAGAAGCCACACTGGCAGGCCAGGAAAAGGAGATGTGTCAGATGGGAAAACTACAGGCAGCCAGGCCTTGCTCAGTACTCCAACCTAGTAAGTACACGCTCTTCTGGTCTATGCCTGGTGTGAGCCCTGTAACACATTTCACATCACATATATACAAAAGAGAACACAAACCAACCAACTCAACTCTAAGAACTTAACTATTTTCAAAGTCACAGCTAAAGGGAAAAGAAAGGAGACAAGATAAACAACAGAAACTGCTTCAGAACATATTAAACACTGTTCTTAGAATAAGTAGTGAACTGTCTAAATAATTTCAACAGTCCTATTTGAGGGGGAAAATCAATTCTGGCTTCACTGCTCCCCCTTGTGGGCCTTAACAGCAGTTACAAGTGATTCACATTCAAAATCTCTCCTTAAGGCCCTTCTTCAAATGTAGTTTAAGTAAACGCAATTAGTTGCTTCAACTGTATTACCTGCACATGTCGCTGCCTTTTTTAAGGCCGCTGCCCATCCAACTCTCCACAAAGCATTCTCCACTCTTTCCGTCAAGAGACCTTCACGGAATTCCTGTCATATGCCAGCCACTGTAGTTGGCATGCGGCACAGTGAGATGAATAAAACACATTCCTCATTCCAGACAGCTGGTTCAACCTTTTGCTCCACAGCCCTGTTTGGTGCCAGAATATTCCACCCATACGACGGTCTCTTTTTTCTCCCTTGTCCTCTTTCTTTTGTTCCCCTTTCTCCTCCAGGACGTCCTTCTTCAATTCCCTCCAAAACAGTCTTCCTCACACTTACCGAAGCGCAAAGCCCCGTTTGAAAAGCAAGGCTCTGAGAAGCAGTAATGATAATGCAAAAGAGCATGGAACTGAAAACACAACACCACCTGGGCACCATCAAGCAAATCCCCACTTACACCTGTGCCTGCGTCCCCAGTGATGAAAACGCCCACCAAGTACCAGGCCAAGTACTTTATGCACAGATTTCCTTTAATCCTCACACCTACAATAGGAAGCCCCGTTACAGCTGGAGAAACTGAGGCGGAAAGCTTAAGTCAGTCCTTTTAGGTTACAAAGCTGGGTTCCGTGAGCCAAATTTACACCTAAAATCCGGCGGATTCCAAGTCCCGTTCTTTTAAGCAAACTGGACTCTCAACCTGCACTGCGCGACCCAAAGGAGGGCTGGCTAAAGCGTTTCCCCGAGGGTGGAGCGTCGGAGGGAGCAACTTGGGAACCTGGAAGCCCAACTGGGCTTTGCTGTGGTCTCTCGGGAACTAAAATGCGCAGGGCAGCTCAAGGTACCCCACGGAAGTCTTCCTCATTCCCACCAGTAAAGACTTGAGGCTCACCAGAGGCGGTCGGAAGAAGAGGAGCAGAGTCTTAAATGGACCTCCAGCTCTGACACCAGCTCCCCAGGTGCCCGGGGTCCCATAACTGTCAGGGTACGAGGTCTCCACCACGGCCTCTACCCCAGCGCAGGTGGGGGGAACTTCCTCCCGGCGGCCCCTTCACCTCCCCCAGCCCCGGAGGTCGCCCCGCCCCTCTCCCGTGCACCCCACCCACCCCCGCAGCGGTCCCACGCCCGCCGCGGGCTGCTGAGCCAGCCGGAGGACGCACCTTCGTCGGACTCTCGGCCCCGGCAGCTGCGCTCGTCGTCCTCGGCGCTCTCCAGCTCTTCGTCCTCCTCCGGGTAGTACTCCGGGGCCGGCGGCGCTCCAGCCGGGGCCGGAGCCGGAGCCAACAGCCCCGCGGCACTCATGTCGCCACTGGCCGCTGCTGAGCGTGTCACCCGGGGACCGCAGCCGCGCGCCCTGCCGACTCGACGCCCGCCTACCGGCCCCCGAGGGAGCCGCCAACTCGAAGAGCGGCAGCCGCGGCGACCCCTTCCCCGTCTCCGCCAAGCTCCGCCCCGCGCACCCGCGCTCGGCAACGGGGACCTCGCGCCGGCGGTGACTTCCGGGTCGCAAGCTGTCCGAGAACCGCCTGACTCCATCATCCTTGAGGGGGTGGACGGGCTGCCCCCTTCGCCTTAACCTCAGCCCTTTCATCGCCGTCCTAAAATCCTCACTGGGTAGTGGGGAGGGGCGGAGACAAGTTCTCTAGAATTAGGCAAATCCTTGGACAGGCCTGCCGCAGACAGGACCCCGAAGCTGGAAGGCGCTCTGTTTCCAGAAGTAGCCGCCAGGCGGCGCAAGGAGCCAAACCTAAAGCGAGGGTCCTCTGCGACCTGAGAGACAGAAGGGTTGAAACCTCTTGTCAGGTGGAGGTGGTCTCTTTAATTGAAACAGGTGAAGGACGTGAACCATCCCATTTATAGGTCGAGAAACGTTGACATCTAGAATTTTCGTGATCATCCGCCCCCCCCCCCCCCCCCCCCCCCCGCCTAGCTCCTCCCCTAATTGGAGCTTTATTAAAAGAGAACTAAAAGACAAGGATGCTGATATTCCATCCTGGGGTCAGCAAAATGGTGTTTTCCCAGTCTGTAGGAGTTCTTTCTGTTTGTGTGGGTATGCTCAATAAGGTATTCTCCCGATTTTACAGATGAGGAAAGAACGTTTGCCTAAAAAGTGGCAGCGTCCAGGCTGCCTTGTTTACACGAGCACACCCAAGCACGGTATGTCTGTACATTACTGCTGCCTCAATTTCTTAGAATATTAATTTTTTAAAAGGTTCTTTTCCCCGTCCAATGACTTGCTAACCAATTCTCAACTGAGCAAGTGGAACATTTGCCTGCAGGAAGTTAATTAGGCTAACGTAAGGAACATGATGTGTGGAAACTTAGAAAACAAAGACAGCTGAATACCTGCTTGAATTAATTGGTGTGATTCCTTCTGAGTAGGAGATACTGTGTTATAAGCTTTGCTTAATGAACAAATTTAGGATGTCCTTTGTCTAGTTGTGGGTAGCAGGAAAATGGTTAAAGAAGCCGGCCCAGAGATGTTTATTTGTACAAAGTAACCCTGCCCCTTATGTTACACCCAAGTCTCTAAAGAATAAGTAACTTACAAGTAGTCAGGTTGAACGCAGATGTAAAACCCAGGATGGAATCCCATATCCTGATTCTCAGCTCCCTTGTGACCAAATTCATCTCTGAATGGGACCCTAAAGAGTGTCCTCAAAGTGAAAAAAATGTATTCTCATCCTATTTATTTTGACATTTCTTATTTCCTACCTTAATGAAAATCTTAGCTCTGTTGTAGATTTTTCCTCCCAAGAAAACTCCAGAATTTCTAAAATAGAATGTTGCAGTGTCTTTCCATGACTTCAGAGATCTTCTGAAGCTCCTTCTAAATAAAAGTCATTCTCAGGGCTCACTATATATCCGCCATCTATATTTAAACTAGGTTTTTAGAACTGTCTCTTGTCCAAAGGATGAAGTCATAGTCTATTTTTATTTTAGATCACATCTAAATTATTTGTAATCAACTATATTGAGCAACTTAGGTTTCCATCAGTAGCAATAATCATAAACCAGAAAAAGCACCAACATTTTAGAAATTAGAGTTCACTGATATAATGAATCAAAAAAAAAGAAAAAAAAGATTTGACTTCATTGCTAATTGGTTTCAGGACACTGGAATATTTATCTTATGTTTTCTATCTTCTTGATTGCAAATAACATCTGCTAATGGTCGTGCATTTCTTTTTTTATACTGATAGACACAACTGAACACTGGTAGTGAAATCTCACTCCATTTTTTCAATCCATTTTGCTAACTGTAGAATTGGTAGGATGAGCTCTTAACATATACTCTTTAAGAGAAGAAAAAGTTCTCATGACTTTAGTCTTACCTAACATTTATAAGTTAAATAATTTTGGACAGTTTCTCTAGGCCTGAAAAATCAAGTTCCCTCAGAACCACCATGCATTTTTGGCATTTCCAAAATGCCAGTCACACTGATCAGGAGGCACCTACTTCAGAATTCATCTTAAACGGAGTCTTGCCAGCCTCCTTTCCACAGGCCCTCTCTGTATATCCCAGCATCCCAATTTAAAGGGGAGCATGGTAATTGGAATGGAGTATGATTTTAAAACACTAGGGAAAATCTGTACAGTGTTTAGAACACAAATTTTGTCAGGAGTGAAAGTCAAAAAAGAGTTATGTTGGCGAGTTTCCTGAGAACAAAGTCCTGTATACATCTGACAACGCTTAGGATCAAATTGTTCCTGAAATGAAACAATTTCTTCACAAAATGCTGAATTGTCAAAGTCCATACACTTTGGGGTTTATGAGTTAAGGTAGCGGTTTTCAGTTAGCCGTATCGATTTAATCAACATATCCAGCTTCAAAAAATATAAAGAACGGCTCCAAGTAGCACGATGCACTTTTACCCCCGGCAGGTGAAAGGAGTCTGTGATTACCACAGGTTGCACTTTGACCATTAGTTCACACGGAATCATTAAAACATGTGGCCCTGAAAACGAATATGCTAAGCTTGCTGAAGCCTACCGCGCAGTTCCTGTTCCCAGTCAAAACGATTATCGAAACCCACAAACTGATTATTTCTAAAGTTTTGTCCTCATACCTCCCAAAATGGGCCCCATCAGTATTGAATGCTTACTTGCTCACAGTATACATCCAGTATAAAGATTTTTTTTTTCCCAACAGCTTTAAACTGACGTCTGTCGAACGCAACATAAGGGCAACTCCCTTGCCAAGGATATGAAAACAATTTAAATCCAGGAACTATTTACAAGTCCTGGGTGAATAAATGTTAATATTAACCAATGGCAGAATTTCTTAGGAAGCTGAGCAATAATGGAAGAAAGAGGACCTCCTCAAAGGCTCTTCCCTGGTGGTTCCTGGGAATCCCAGGGGTCCTTGGCCTCTGGGAGACTCCCAAGAAAAGCAAAGGCGCAGAGGAGTGCCATGAACTTTGACCCCAGCCAGCACAAACAAGGTTGACCGCACCCCAGGCGGGCCAGCAGGGTAACTGAAGTTGCGAGGTCTTCCGCGTCTGAGGAAACCCCGCCCCGCTCCGCCCCGCCCACCGCCAGCTCCGCCAATCCTCAGGCGCCATCGACCGCTCGGCCACCCAGGCACCTCCAATCAAGTACCTATATCCGGCCCGGGACCTGGGCCCCGCGGTCAGGGGAGGTCAGTAGAGAGCCTATCGGAGCCAAGCTGGGGGCGTGGTCGGGGGCAGGGGGCGGGCGGACTGAGACCGCGGGGCGGAGCGCGCTCTGCGCAGTCGGGTGCGATTGGCCACCCCTGGCAGGAGCCGCACCTCGGACAGCAGCAGCGGCAGCCGCGGGAGGGTCCGTGTGGCGCCCGGCGGCGACGGCGGCGGGGTCCTGCGTGACAAGAGTGGGACCAGACACCGAGACCGCGGGCGGAGGTCCGCGCGGCCGTACCCGGCACTGAGCGGCGCGACCCGGGGATCCTCCGGGGGACGAGCGGCAGAAGAGCGACTCGGGAACAAGTGTGCGAGAGGAAGCGGCGGTGGCGACGCCGGGCCCGGGAGTGGTGACAGCAGGTCTGAGGTGAGAGCACCGGGGCGCGGGACGGTGACAGAGTGAGCCGAGGTGAGGGGACCCTGGGCGGAGTGAGGTCGGGAGGACTCGAGCGAG